CTTTATCATGCATTTCGAATCAGAAAGTAAGAGAAAGCAACCATATTACACTTCATCTTATTGATTCAAGGAGCTTTCCAGGATTAGATCTCAAAAGCAGGCATAAACTTTTACTTCCATATGTTTTGAAAGAGAAAGGAAATATTTTCAGGTGCAAATCCGAATGATGCAGATTAGAGGAAAGAAGAGAAATACCTCTTAATGCAGACTCAAAGTAAAACTGTAGAACAAATTTATGAAAATGTCTCCTACAGAAACTCTCCTCCAAAAGCTTCAAAAAACAGTAACCCACGAATGCTCCACACTCCCAGCGCACGAGAATCTAACTTAGAGAGGATTTTGTCAAAGCTTCCCTTCCTAAAAGCCGCTTCCCTTCCTAAAAGCTTCAGAAAACAACAATCCACAAATGCTCCACACTCCCAACGCACGAAAATATAGTCTAGAAAGAATTTTGGCAGAGTTTTCTTCCCTAAAGGCCTCAAACAGTAAAACCACAAAAAAACAACCCCCCAGCCTCTCTTTCTCTCAAGAAATTTTCAACAACCCAAAACAGTATCTTAAGAAGCTTTTTTATAGGTAGAGAAGAGGGGGAACCGCCACCTACCACCGTAAGGTAATCAAATCAAACAAGACAATAATTGCCACAGTAAAAAGGGAGACGGTAAAATTTCGAGAAGGAGAAGGGTCGGTCAGCTTGGCCCTTGCAATTGGAGAGCCGAAGAGTCTAGCGGCCACGCGAAGAAGGGGAAGAGTCGAGAAAGGGGGAAGAGATTGTTGCGTGGATCGTCCACGGGAGCTAGGGCACACAAAGGAGCCGCAAGGGAGCCGCGCCGAGCGTTCAACTAAGCCGCGGGGTCGAACGAGGGATTAAGTGTGCGGGAATAGAGAAAATAGGGATTAGGATTATAATTTTAATATTATAAGTAATAAAATATATAAAATATTTAATATTTCTTAAAAATAAAATTCGATTCGTACTTTTTATTCATGCATCAAAACATAACAAAATTGATGTTTTTTTTAGGTAATTTTGACGTTCCAGACGCGCTGGCGCGGTCTGTTTCTTTATCAGAGGTCATTTTGACAAATTCATCGATTTGCATGCAATTTTGCTCGTGTCGAAAATATGATAATATGGGTGTTTTTTCTTACTAAAATTAGTGTCCTTGACGCGTTGGTGCAGTCTATTTTGTTGTCGGAGGTTGTTCGGAGAAGTTTGCATTTTCACGCATCCTTTAAGTTTAATTTAAGTTTGATTTTGTGCAACTTAGTGAATTTTGTGCATTTGGTGTGTGTGTGTGATGGTAAAGTCCTGAAGAAGTTTTCCTAAGGCTTAAAATTTTATTGAGAATTTCTTCTTGAGCCTCCACATGATAGTCATTTACCACTCGACCATAGGACGATGGTTTTGAGATAATTAATGCGAGAGATCACAAGAGAAATAGGAAGTGGCTGGAATTTTCTAAAAAAATGTGGGGCTCAATTCTAGTTTTCTTAGATGGTCAATAGGAACTTCTAGAGCTAGATCCTAGGATCCTAAAGGAAAGAGTAATGATCTCAAAATGAGGTCAACAGAGAGTAATGTTAATCGGCGCCAATAACACTGTCTGCCTCATGCTCCACTAAGTCGACACTGATCCCACCATAATAGTTTGAAGACTTATGTTAGGCGTATGAATAAAAGAGCAATTTAGTCATTTGTTAGCTATTATTTTGGGTTATAAATAGAGCTTAATATGTTTAGGGTTTCGATATGTGTGATTGATGTCTTGAATTTTAGGGTTAGAGTTTGGGAGAGATTGACCACCACTCGAATTATAGGTGTTTTTTTATGTATTCGGGATTGTATCGTTATTATTTGGTACCAACGGAATAGAATCTATTATTTTGCCCAAATTCTTGCGTATACTTGTCTCGTTCCTATCATCTTTTTTGGTCAATTGGCATTTCTTATTCTTTTGCTTAATATTTGATATGTATGTATATGTGTATGTATATATACATACATATATATATAAAGTTCCTAATGCGTCGCGTACTGAGGTTAGTTGGTAGAGCATCCGCTTCGGCGATGTAAGTCCCCTCTTGTCTGGGGTTCAATTCCTCCCATGTGTAGGGTGTGATACTATTAAAGGCGCATTAGGGATGGTTGTGGCTTGACTAATAGCCTTCGGCCATTCCTTTACTAAAAAAATAAAGTTTCCTAATCATTGACATGATAATTCGCCTTTTTTAACTTTTTGTGGTTGGGCTCATCAGTCACTGGTCTTCATATATTCATCTTTAGTGCTACTTACATAGGATTTCTTCTTTACACTACAACAAATAAAATGCTTGAGTTTTATTTTTGCTTGGATGGATTGTAAGACGAAGAAAGTGAGCTAGACGCTCATTTCTATTATTGTGCTAAAAAAACTTGGTGGAAATAGAATATAATAGTTGCAACTCCCTATTGCTTTCATTTTCTATTGCATTATGTATAATCACTTTCTGCCATATTACACAGACGATGAGCACTAGCAATGTTTCTTTAAATATATTTTGGACGTGTTTGGCAGTTTAATGTTTTGGAACATCTGTTGAATTTTCTTTTATTTGAGTAGATTAGCTAAATGTTTACTTTCCCAATTATCGGCTATTTTTGGTACCTGGGTCGTTGTCTAATCGACCCAAAACCCAAAGTCTTCCACTTACAGATGATATTTTGTTTACTCCAAAGTAATTGAATCCACATCAAATGCTTATCCATGTCGGGGGTTTCTTATTTCATTTGAGAAAATAAATTTTTTGACCTTCTTCTAAAGGCAGAACCTATTAGGGCCAGCATGGGAACCAACAGGTAAATCTCTAGGTAAAGCTTGAAAAATAAAATACACAAAATTGTTTTGTTATTTAAGTTGTAACAAGGACAGCATATCTCAATTCAATTTAATGATGTCACACACTATCTCTAGTATATTGTTCCAAACTTTCATTTATTCTCGCAATTGGTATTGAGTTTTAGCGCATAATTAGTAGTTCTACGTGTATATTGAAGGTATGCATCAAATTCATAATAAAGATTAGTTGTATCCTAATGTCTCATTAGCTTTTCATGACTATCTGTAATATCTTAAAAAAACTACACCCACAGGTTAATATAAATAGTACTTAGGAATTAGGTAATAAAAGAGATAAAGATTAATCCTTCAATATCTTATTTGTCTCGTTACTAATTTTGCTCCATGATAATGATACAATTGTTGAGCACCATTAGTTATATGCCATTTAAATAATACTATGGCTTTCTATAATTAATCTCATGCAAACAACTTGAGATTTTCAGCAACAATGAATATCTTATCACTAGAATTCCGATCATCTTCTCAGAGCTTAATGAAAGATAAATTTTAATATTTGCATATATAAAATATGTGTTTCATAAACATGCTTAGTTCTCTAACCAAGTCAACAAGTCTAAACATGATTGACAAGTAAAGTTCTTTAATTTTTTGTTTATTTCCTAAGAATGATGTATTAATTATATTATTTCTTTTCATATTATAAACCATCAAATATGTATGTTTAATTTATATTTTTATTCTTACTCGATAGATAAGGCAGTAGCTCGTGTGCTTACACCTATATTTAATCTTTTGGTTTATCATATGATTTTATTTGCTAGCTATAAATATGATTACTTCTAACCATCTGCTAAAAAGAAGGGTAAGATTCTTCTCTAGTTGATCTTTGCAAGATGAGGTTTAGATAAGATGACGCTACTACTAGTTTTTTATTTGCTCAATAATCTCAATATTCATGTTGATTTACTAGTTGACCCTTATGAGCCTTATCTCAAAGATTATAATCTTTTGGTTTCAAACTGATTTTATTCATTCAATTTACATTGTTTGTTTACACCAATCTCAAAGTCATTGATTTTGATCCAACAATCTGATGCAGTCTCCAACAGCACTAGTCTCGACCCTAGTTTCTTTATCTAATCAACTCGAATCTCAATGATGATTTGTCTTGATTATCGACCATTTGATTGATTTTAGGACTAAAATGTCTTCAATCAAGGGACCTTTTGCTCTGAGATGAATCTCGGAGTGAGTATTCATTGCTCGTCTTTCTTTATAATGCTTTGCCAAAGTTCTGAAGTGTACTTCATCTAGATGGCTATGAATACCACCAATGGAGCACGTTATGGGGCTTCCTTTCTCCCACTTTATCTTCCTAGAGGGGTAAAGTTCACTAATCGATTTCAACCTATATACCTCGTAAGTTCAATCATTGATTTGAGTTTTGAAGGGTTTTTCTGAGGACAAAATCTCTATGGTGGGCCACTAATCTTTTCTTTCAATTAATTGTGTGTATGACATGATTTTGGATTTAAGAGTATTCATCCACCCAAGTTATACTGACATTCAAGATTGTTTCCAATGCAGTAATTCCTGATAATGCAAATTGTTCATATGCTAAATTTTATTTAAAAAAATAATCTTAGTACTTGTATTATTTGCATTTATATATGAATGTTTTGAATTTAAAGACTCTACATGCAAGTCAACCAAATCAGTTGCCAGTGGCATGATAAAAGTATATACTAACATTTATCTTATATTTATTAGGACGCTCTTTTTTGTAATCATATCTTATAAATAAATAATTCCATATTAATATATCTTTAGTTTGTTCATAAACTTGTTTGTCTTTGTCATATGCTAATGTGGCCATACTATTGTAGTGGATCATTATTATTTCTAATACTTGCAATGCTTACGACTCCCAATAGTGGATCCTCTTAATGACATAACTTGTTATTTTGTGATGAGATGCGTTTTGTTGGCAAGATCACCATTATTCTATCATTTTATATGCACAGGCTGGGTTCTTATCATTTTATTCGGTCTTCTTTATCACTGTTTTATGTTACACATTCAAATACGTGATCACAATTATTTATGTTGATCTACAAATTAAGAATGACTTTATTGTTTAAATTGAGCACTATTTTGAAGATTTGTTGATTAAAATTAGTAAACAATAGATGCACCATAGTTGTTGACAGTAAAAGCATCATATCTGCATAGATGTTTTTAGATTGAATTCATTAAAATTGTGCTAAATATCTTTGTATACATTTTTTAAAATCTTCATATAATTTCCGAATTCTTATAGCATGATATTAATCAACTATCTCATTGTCCGACCATCCATCAGTGTGTTATTTTTACATGCATGATTAAATAACCTTGAAATTTGTATTGTGCAATTTTTTCATCGGTGAAGTTAAATGTGAAAGGCCTTGATTTGCCAACTAGATGTTGTGTGATTGAAATCATGTATTCTATCATTCCTTAAAGTTAACTTTAAAGTTTTCTTAAGTGTCAGCTTGTGTTGTACCTAGTTTGCCTGACTATGACTACAATGCAACTTTGTAGCAATTACATTATTGTGCACACATTATCACATGAAAAAAACTGTATCGCTCGTTTTGCTTGGTTATAACTACCATGCAAATCTGTGACTAATAGTTGATTGTTATACATCATGGTATGCAACAAACTACATTAAAATCTAGAAATTGTCTCGAGTCCTCAGGCGATTATCCATTTTCAGTTGGCATTTTTATATCTTTAATTATTTTGGTTTGTAATTTAACATATTGAATAGTTTTGAATTTTTTTAAACTAAATTAAAAAAGATACTAACATTCTCATTGGTTTTTCTATAATGATCTTTGTACTGCAAATTTAGTTATATCTTTTATTGAAAATTTTTTAGAACAACCACCTGTTAATTGAGTTTACCTATCGTTGTTGATTTTTAAAATGTCTTCATGGTATGGACTTTTTTTTTTTTTACATGATGGCCTCATGTAATAAGTTTTTTCTAAGATGACTTCTTAGAATTCTATATTCCATCACCTGGACATTTATTTGTGACCATATGTGAATTCGTAAGATTTACATATTCTACTAACTCTTTGCGACAAAGATTACATGATCTATATAGGCGTCATGGTCACTCTTTAGATATCAATCTTGCCATACTTCTGGCATGACTTAATATTTAAATTAGCTACTATTGCCATAATGCCCCTAATTGAAGCAATCCTCACAAAAGGTAAAAAGCGTATCCTTATAATCTACTTTAATTTATAAAATAGATCCTGTTTGTCGTTGCAAAAACATTGTAATGTTGGCCCATAATTTATCTATTTATTTCTTTGCTTAATCTTGGGCACCCATTTGTTTTAAAGTTATTATCTAACAATTGATAAGTCCACCAAATCTAAAACTTGGTTAAATTTTGTAGATCTCATTTTCTCATTTTTGAAGCACATTTATAATAACCCATGACTTATAAAAAGTGTCTTGAATCGAAGCATTTGATTTTTAGGCTGTCAAGGGTGAACGGCTTAGTTTCAATGTGCTTGATAGATTTGACCCTTCACTTTCTTATCCTAATGGCCATCTTAATCATTTTTCTTTGATCCAAGTGGCTCTCAAGAATTTGCAAATTTAATCTTGCATTGATAGATTTGTAAATGAAATATTGAGCATGGGCTACATTGCAAAATTGCAATTTAAATTTTTAATGTAGGGTAATGACAGATTTAGGTAGGGGGAATTAAGGAAGCGTTTATAAAATCACTCCACGATATTCTTCTCATTTTAAGTAGTTGGTCACCTTTCATGCAGAAAGCAAGGAGATTTCCTATTTGCAAGGGGTGATTATCCACAATTCAAATTTTTGTTAGGTTATTTAGGATAAACTTTTTCGCATATGTGCATTTAGTTGGATTGTGGATAATTATAATTTAAATCCTAATTTTCTATAAGAGGTCTTTGAGATGTAAGATTAAAGTTGAAGTAGTTGAATTATCTTTTTTTCTCAAACTTCTCTTTTTCTCTCTTTCTAATATTCAAACAAGGAGGCCTTAGGACTTGTCTCCCGCTCTTTTCATTGTCCAAGGTTGTAAAACCCTAGGGTACATTTTTCTAGTAGAAAAATGCTAGCTCAGCTTCTCTCTCCCTCTTCAGTAGGTTAATGAAAGCATGTATTTTTCCAATACAATCTGATATTCTTGTAGTGGATATTTCCTACCAGTTTTGTGAGCCTTTTGTGTCTTAATTATTTATCATTTTTTTTTTATCAGAGCATTAATTATAATCCATAGGACTTCATTAACGCTTGTGTAAGAACCTAGAGTTTTAAGGAGACAAAAGCCCATGCATTTAATCGGAGTCATGAGAGTTTGGGGGGGGGGGGGGGAATGGTGTTGGTGTTTCTAAATTTTTAAAGAGGCCATATCAGAAACTTTTTGACTGGCAAAACTTGCGGTTACCACTGAAACTCTCTTTTCACCAAGGAAGTATATTCAGAAAGAGATATGATGAAGAAAATCAGCTAGTACTTATTACTATATATTTGAAGGCATGTCCAAAAAGGAACATTACCAAGCAAGTGTCTCGGCAGCCTTTAATATGAACAAAGATGACCACCGCGTGTGCGTAAAAAAGTGGATTGCAGGGTGATGACCGTAAATAGTTGACTATGCACACATTCTCCCAACATAATGTTGGGACATACTTGATGGATTTAAAGGAGCAACTAGTTTTTATGCAAATACTTCAAAAGAGGAGAAAAATGGATATTTTTGTATTATATTACACAAGTGTGATTCAAAGGTTCAATGTCTAAGATTGTAAGGCATGTAATTTAATTTTAAAAAAAGTGGAAGGTGCTGGCCAGTTCGTGATGTTACACAATTGAGATGGAGTTGGATATGGAGAGAAGAAGTGAGAGGCGAAGCAAGCCAAGTGGGTTTGTTTCATAATTTTAAGGGAGGCGTGCAGAAGGAAGAAAATAGAGAACAAGTGACAAACAAATTAAGCGAGAGGGAGCACCTATACACTCGATCTCTAGTGAAGTCAAAGCAGTAAGTGCAAGCAAAGGATCAAATGCATGAACGAGAGCAGATCGCTATACTGATCATGAGTAGGAGCAAGCATGCGAAGGAAGATGAACTGAGTGGTAGCAAAGATGGAGGGCAAACATGCGTGCAGGAGAAAGCTCAAGCTGATCGCAATCAATGAAAACATGCCAAGTGAAGCGCGAGTAAGATCGAGTATATTGAGCAATGATTTTGTGGTAAACCATGGAGATGTTGGAATGCTTATTTTTTCCTAAATCCAAATAAAAGTCTTAAATAATTTTTTACCTAGAAATTTCTAGATTTCTAATTTTTATCACAAGATAAATATTCTTTTAATAGCTTAAGTTATTATAGAGCAAATAATAAAGTGTATGTTACATTTAACTTAGAGTTTTATTAGAATTTTAATTTTTTTTAAATAAGAAAGTGATTATATTAAAAATTAAAGTTGTAATAATAATAATAATAATAATAGTAATAATATTAATATTAGTAGTAGTAGTAATTGAAATTCTACTTAAGGTTGGTTTGGTTTGCTAAAAATTAATGCAATTTATAATGAATGGAATATAGGAGTAGTTTATTATTTTCAAAATACTTTTGAGTTGTTTGATTTGGTGTAAAATAAATGAATGATTTTATTTTTATTATTGGTTTTAAGTCAAATGAAAATAGTGTATTTCGTTATATTTAACAATTAATGCGTTGGTAAGCGCTTTGAATGGTCAGCTGCTGGTGGTGATCTGTGGCGGGCTGCGACGATGGTCAGTGGCTATCAACGACCAGTGGTCGGTCAGTGGTGGTCAACTACGACAACGATGGCCTGTAGACTGTGGTGGCCTGTGGGCGGCGGCCACAGCGGGCATCTCGTGATGTTGGTGGCTGGCAGCAGGCTGCATTTAACATTGTGTTAGGAGCGATGGCGGGCGACGACAATGGCAACAGGTGATCGACAACAACAACACTTTACATAGAGGTGTGAATTTGGAAATCAGCCAAATCAATCGAATTCCAAATATAAAGGAAATGAACTATAGAATGTATTCTCAATTCAGTCATATTTTACACCGTATTTGAAATTCGGCGGACTAAACGTCTAAGTTCTTAGAACCCATACAAAACAAATACAATACACTCATTTTTCAGCAGACCACGGTCTCTCATAAAGATTTATGTTAGGGTGAGTTATATGAAAAACATTAATAATGATATTGTTCTATTAAATTTAATATAATTTATTAAATGGATTATAAATTATATTTTATATTTCTTTAAATTTATGATTGAAGGAAATTGTAATGAAATAAAAATGATAATTATCTAATTATGATAATA